TAATCTGGCATGGAAACTTTCCGCACACCGGCAAGGTTGCCTGTGAAATTGAGGAGGCTTCCGAGGGAAAAGAACCATATTTTTGAATTGCAGGATTTGCATGTAGATTTTCCTTTTTATCCAAAGCAGCAGCAGGCAGATGAGCAGGCAGAAAGGCCACTGACCCAGAAGCCAGTCCCTGCCTGCCACTGACTGACACTGTGAGCTTGCATATGCCACCCATCTCCCTGTGCTAGGACTTTCCCAACCAGAAAGCAGACGAGAGGCTGGGCACGGTGACAATCAGGCATCTCATTGTAAAGAAGAAAGGAAAAGCAAAGCCTATATTTGGACAGGAGAGAGTGAAATGGCAAACTCCAAAATTCCTTTCAACCGTGCCTGCCTATTTTGTGTGTGTGTGTGTGTGTGTGTGTGTGTGTGTGTATGTGTGTGTGTAGGGGGGAGGTGGGTGAATTGTCAGTGTCTGACCCTACAAACCTCTGATCAGAGTGCAACCGTGAAGTCTCACGTGGCCTAAACCCAAAAACCCAACACTGCCATTGTTGATAGCATTCTTATTTGAGTGCCTTTTTAAAAAAGAATTACCTGGGAAACCACCTGTTTCTGTACGATATTAAAAATATTTTACTTTCAAAGTTAAGGTGTATTTGAGTTATTGTTGCCTAAGACAAACAAAACAAAGTATTTTGTTTTTAAAGTTTTTTTTTGTTTTTCTAAAGCTGTGCTCTTCTCAAATGGGGAGGGCTGTGTCATCACGTAGAAGGAAAAGCTGAACTTTGAACCAAATTGGGAAAGACAATAAAAGGTAGCTGAAGGAGCTCAAGTTTGTCATTATTCTCTAAGTCATTAAAACACAAAATTAGGACACGTTCAAGGATAAGGAGTGTCATTAAAATATCTAGGTGATTCTTTAAAACCCCTAAAAGACCCAGAGGTTTCTGGGGTGGAAATTCCCAAAAGCCTCAATCATGAGTCACTGCAATTTGTTGCCCTCAGAGCCTCCACTAGTTTTGGCAGAACTCAGGGCCCCAAATCTGGAGTCCAGCAACAGTAGGGAAACATTTTATGGGGAGAGGATGGTGGGAACGGATGGGTGGTGGGGAGAAATTGCCTTATAAGGAAACTCTTAAGTCCTGGGGAAGGCCTGGTATTTCACCAAACTGAAAAATTGTTAAGGGAAGATCCTTGAACCCCTTACTCCTCCCATCAAGAATTCAGAGAAAGAGGAGAGTGAGGGATACGTTATTCCCCAACACAGACTTGTGCTATATCCGTCTGTTTAAATGTGAAGGGGTAACCCACTTAAGGGCAACATAGCAATTTCCTAGCCAAGCTACAGAGCATAGAAGACACTGAACTCACAGAGGCCAGACAATGAAGGTACACGGCTGAAGCCACTGGACACACCACAGAGCCTGCCAGAGCCTCTGAGGCAGCTGGACCCAATGTGAGGAGCAACCACACCCTGGAAGCCCCGGGGGCAGGGAGGCACAGACAAGCCGGTCCAAGCCTTCTTCCAGAGCTTGACTGCCCGCTTTGCCATCAATCCTCTCCGCTCCCCCTCTAGCCTCTGGTGACAGGGAGCTTACTCTTTACAGTCTTTCTTCACTGCACTGAGGACAGATGCTCCAGATAGTTCACAGTCAGGGTGACAAAAGAGTCCCCAAGCCTCTTTTGGGTCCCCCAATCTAACACTGCCTCTCAATGGAGTGGGTAAGCAGTGGGGGAGAAGGGGCAGAAACCCTGGGTGGGTCACAGGCTCAGGGCCTAAACAAATCCTGAACTCAGTGGCACTGGGTCTTCAGTCCTTTGGCTGACCAGCAACGTGACAGTGACCTTCTGAGAGTGCAGATAATAATGGACTGGAAGTATCTCCACCCTGACCCCAGCCAAGTGTGTATAGGAAAGGGGTCTGGGATTCCACATGACAGATCAGAGCTGAACAACGTGAGAGTGGGATGGGCTTTGAAACCCTTGTCTTGGTCATGCAGCTAGGGCTAGGTAAACTTAACTGGAGGAGCTGCTACCACCTACCCAAATCTTTCTACTTAGCTATTTGCCACTTTCCCTAAGTGCTTTACACACATGATGTCATTTAATTCTCACCACCATCCTATGCTGCAGGTATTATGACTCCCACTTTATAGGTGAAGGGCTGCAGTAACTTGCTTAAGGACTTCCAGCCAGGATTAAACCTGCTCTGCCTGCTGTGTTGGGGACACGACCCAGCTCCCACCTTCCACATGGCCAGGCATAGCCGGTGCTCAGCGGCACAACGGGTGGGTGTTTCCGGGCTCCTCCTAGACAGGCAGCTCATATGGACTCAGTGCTGGGCTGTCTTGGAATGTGCTTCCTGGGACATAATTACCACCATCAAGATTATTATTAGCATTAGGCATTTACATGACACTTAATATTTTCAAAGCATTGTACTACCATTTAATTAGTTTTTCCTTGCAACATTCCTGTCGAGTCCACACTTGATAGCTGGGCAGACTGACGGGGAAGAGATAAATGCTAAAGGTTGATGTGGAAGAGGGCATGGCAGCACAATCTCTTAGCTTCCATTCCTTCTGGTGACCCAGCTAATATTAATTATCTCCCCTACTCCTGCAAATCCTGCACCTCCAATTCCCAGTTCTCCACCATCAAGGTGACTGTGACTTCTAGGAGTTGAGGTGCAGGGATCTCTTCTTTGATGTATTTCGGCTCAAGATCCAAACACCTTCCCCCCCTGCAAAAAACAACAGCAACAACAACAGCAACAAATATCATGTTCCAGTTCACATGTATTTAGAACAAAGGGCACTCTCAGTCTCTTTCCAAACTTTTCCATTAAAGCTACCTATAAAATCTCAGGACTGTAATTCCCAAACCTAAGGCATTTTCTGATAGGAAGTTTTTATCTAGCGTTTGGCAAATCCTAATTGGGTCTGTTAAAATAAAGGAGTATCCCTTCAGAGTAGAGAAGGGAAACAAAATACAATAAAATGGAGGAGAGGGGCAGGTCAGCAGGCTCTGCTCCTTGCTGGCAGCAGGGGCTGTGAAGGGGTGGTTTACCCCATATCCTGAGAGCCCCGGCAGAGCATGAGAAGCTGCCAGTCCTACCTAAGATGTTCTCGCTGCAAGGCCTACTTATTCTGCTCTTTAGGTTAAAGGAGAAACCGCAGGGAACAAGAAGGGGAGGGGATGCGAGGCAGCTAGGGTCCCGGAAAACTACGGGAGTAAGGAAAAGGAAGGAGACTGAAATCTCAGGTGCTTCGCTACCGGACCCACCAGGCCGGGACGACCCGCTTCTCTGCACAACAACACTCCCTTACAGCCAGGTTCTGGCACCTCCTCTCTCTCTTCCAGGGAATTCCCTTCACCGGGGTGCGCTGGACCAACGGAAACCCCTCCAGTGCAGCACCAGCTACTGGTTCGGGAATCAGAGGAGCTCCTGCCGCCCTGCAGGTGAACTGGGGTCAAGGTGGAACCATGGGACTGGGGACTGGTGAAACTATGCCTCCTGGCGATGCTGGCCCTCAGTCACCTCCGTCTCTCCAGCAGGCTTCCTGGCCTTTCCTCCCTATCCCACCCCTACCCTCTTCCCTGCGAGCCAGGAGCCCAACTCCAGGGCAGAGGGCAGGGAGCTCCATTCGAGGTGGTGACAGGAAGGCCAACAGGCTGCCGGAGTCCAACAGGCTGCCGGAGTCCGGGAGTGGAGCGACCCAGAGAGGAGACTGCCTCAGTGCGGTTAGAAAACGCTGGGTCATCCTCGTTTTGTCACCGGCCTCGACTGCTCCCGGATCACGCCACTTGCACCCCGACAGTTGAGGCGCGGCTCTGGTGACGGCTGGGCCTTGCCCTCACGGTGGGACCCAAGCTGCCTCACCCCTCAGTCGGAGTCATTGCCTGCTGACCAGAAGCAAGTCTGAAAAAGTCTTGCCCTTGGTGGGTCACCCCCGCCGCTGCGGAGACCAGCCATAAGCTTGGAGGCCCGGGACCCTGAGATGTCCACCCCAGGAGCTCGGGGCTGGGGGCCTGCCTAGGCCAGCATTTCTGGCCCCCTACCCCTGCCTCCGGGGGCAGCCAACCACCATGCCGAAGTCGGATGCTCGGCCCCTTCCGGGGTCACTGAGCTTGGAAGCCAGAAGAAAGCAAGCCGACAACAATACCAACAAGGGGAGATGCGGCCTCCAGCGCGGCTCTCTGGCCAGCTCCACTGGGTGATGCAAACGGAAGATCCCTGTCGGGAGTGGCGGTCGGAGCCAGAGACCTCACCTAATGAGGCACTCGCTCTGTGCGGACCCTCGGAGAGGGCGCAGGCAGAGGATTCCCCTGATCCACCCCGGCGGGGAACGAGGCCCCACTGGGCTGCCTGGGAGCGCTGAGACCTCGCGTGTGTTGCAGGGGGAAGGGCAGGGAAGGTTATAACTCCTGTCCCCACTTGGAGCTCGCAGGGCGACATGGGGTGTCCCCTGAGGGAACTGGTGGTCCCCATCTGGCTCCCCATGAACTGGGGAAATATTCAGTGCTTCGTTTCCCGCTTGGTATGGGCATGCACTTGGGGCGGGTTAAGCCTCTCCGACCTCAGTTTCCTCCTTTGTAAAAGGGACGGTATGCTGGTTTATCCTTAACAGGCTTCCGGCATGCCCATTAGGAATACCTAAGCCAGCCCACCAGGTGAAGCCTTCAGAGCCAGGCAGCCCAGAGCTAGCACCTCATAGATCCTGAGCTGGCTACCATTGTTCCATCGTCTTTTGAAGGTGGAGACCCCTACACAGAACTGCTTCCGCCCTCTCTTCCTCCTCCCCCGACCCCGCACTCTCTATCTCTCTCTCTGTATCTCTCTCATCTCTGTCTCTCATTCTATCCCCCTCGGCAAACCAGAAACATCTGCGTGAAGGGTGAAAACAAAGTTTAATATAAATCCGCCCGTTGTTCAAGTGAGTCCAACCACGGAAGCTGGTCTGCGCCACGCGAGTCGGAGCCAGCGTTCTGCGTCCCAGAAGCTTCCGATGTCGCAGCCAGTTCTCCGCCGCGCACTCGCCTCTGGCGTCTTTATCTTGCTTGCTCAAATTTGGGTTCCGTGGCGGGTCTGGGAGAGTCGAATCCAGCGGTTGGATGGACGGAGAGTCTCGGCTGCCGCTCAGTCCTGCCGGGCATCTGTGACCACGCGGCCACCGGGCTCATCCCACAGCTCCCGCCCTGGGCTCTCCGCTGGCCCCGACGCACCGGCAGTGCTAGAGCAAGGCCTGGAGCTCCGCCATCCTGGTTTAGTCAGATGGCAGCTGACCCCAGGACCAGGACCTCGGTGGCCCTCACAAAGTCCAGAATTCCACAGGGTGGGTCTGAGGAGTTGGAACGTGTCGATGTCACCAGCGGGGCATAGACAACCGGTGCTACCAAACCCCAGCCGGCCGCAAGTGGGACCTCGCTGCCCTAGCGGGAGCGGGCGCAAACTCCCGACCACACGGAGGACCCGGGTGTCAGGGAGAGGCCTCAGCGGAACGCTCAGGTCTCGCTTGGCGTTCAGGAGGCAGATCATGCGACAATAACCGGACCTCTAGTCCCTCGATTTTCCCGTCTCTTAACAGGAACGACACCCCCGCCCAGAATTCCGTGTGTGCGCGGCTTCTCAAGACCCTGAAATTCACCGCCTCCAGGCAGCACGCGGCCCCAGAACGACTCCGGGACTCCAAGAAGGACAGAGCGGAAACTTCCCATCTATCCCGAAAGCAGAGGGTCTCCGGTTCGATGTGACAGGCCCGCTGCAGGCCCCAAGGGCAGTTTTGCTTCTCAGGGAATGCTATGTGAGACCTCCACCCAGGTGCCTAAGAGGTAGCCGCTCTGGCCTTGCTCCGCCAACCTGAAGCTCAGGACCAGGACAGCTGGCTATGTCTGGCGCGGACCGTTCCGGGGCTCCCCGAAGGGCGCGCCCAGCTTGGGTCCTGCCGCCCCACGCTTGGGGCCCAGACCTTGTTGGACTGTAGCCTCCCCTGAGCCGCGCAAACTCGGAACTCCAAGCAGAGGTTATAAGCGATCTCCGGATCAAAATACTGTCCCCTTTCACCGGCTCCCGAGTTTTATTCATTTCATGGAAAGGTCAAGGGTGGCTTGAGGTCTGAACCACCCTGCACTGGTCTCGATGCCTGCCGTCGATGCTTGCCGGACACTGCCTGGCGGGGAGATTTGGGTTAGGAGCCACGTCCCCACTCCTACCCTAGGGCTCAGGTGCGTCGTTGGCCCAGTCTTCTCCCTCCGTCTAGCCTCGGCCCTTCTTATGGGTCCTCTCTCTAACACTGACCCCTGCCCGGGTCCTCTCTTCTCATCTAAGCCTCCCACATGCCTCTAAGCCTCCCCTTGTGTCCTCACTGGTCCCATGACATGGGTGCTCTCCAGCAGTGTCCACACTGCAAAGTGAATGAAGTTTTGCTAGTTTGATTTTTTAAAAAGATTTAAGTTAGTGGGCACTTATCAGGATAATTCGGACCATCCTAATCACATCCAAATGAAATCCTAGACAATTGAGAAAACAATAATTGCAGCAATTATACATTAAATATATATAAGAGATTAGGATATAAATGGCACATAAAAGTCCAGGATTTATTCAAGGCTAGAAATAGAAGACAAGGCACAGGTGTCTTCAGACACCGCTCAGATTCAATGTCAGTTTCAAGGTCAGAGTTGGGAGAGGACCAATCTAATCCAACGCCCTCAGTTTACGAATAAGAACACTGAGGCCCAGAAAGCAGCGGGGTCCCGCCCAAGGTCACACAACGCGGGGCAGGTAGAGGGAGTAGGAACGCAGCCCTGACTACCAACGCGGCGCCAGTCTCTGTGTGGTTCCGGTATTTTCTGCTTTCGGAATCGCAGGGCAAACCCGCACCCCTCGCCCCCGGGAGCGGATTTTCCTCCAGCTTTGGCTGTCTTGAGGTGAGGAGATCCTGAGAAGGATGCTTTTGTGAGAATTCCGTTGTCTCTCCCGCCTCAGGCGTCAATTGTCAGGAAAGAGACCGGACGTCCCCACCGTAAGCCCGGGGCTTTCAGACACAAATCTCCCCGCAGCCTCGTATACCCCGAGGGCGCCACACAGACGCAGTTCTCACTAGAGCCGGCAGGTGGCGCGTTCCCCACGGGGAAGCCGGCCGTCAGCCGCCCGCGAGCTCAGATTCGGCTCCCTGCCCCACCACCAGCTTAGGGTCGCTCTACGGAAAGAAAGGGGACTGGAAGCGGTGCGGCGGGGGAGCTCGGGCTTGTTGCCGAATGGTCTAAAATAAAACCCAGGAAACCCGGATTACAGCCCTTCGACTCAGAGCGGTTCCACTGTTTAAGGGGCAGCTGCGCGCAGGGTGCAGAGGACAAGGCTCCGTCGGCTCCGCGGAGAGCACACCCGACCCACCGGGGTCACCCCTAGGGGGCGCGATGCAAGCCCTCCCATGCACAGGCTCTTCCACGCGCGTCCCTACAGCCTCCTCGACTGCCAGCCCCAGCCCCAGCCCCCATCCTTCCGCCTACTTTTTCTTTTATAAATGGGGGTGGGGTGGAGAATCAGGGAAAAAGTGAGCTTTCTCAATTGCGGCGATAATTGTGCGCGGGATAGGTTTCTTAATCTGCTCATCCATTATTGACTGCTCCTCTAATATTTGGCTTTGCCGCTTTGATCGCCAGAAGAGCACATACTTGACTCCTTTGCATAACAATTTTGGGGCGGGAGTCATTGGCGCGGGAGGGGAGGGACGTGCCTAGAATGACTTTGTGGCCGGTATTCCACCCCTACCCCATCCCTACCCCCAGCACCCCGGCAGGAAGTGAGCCCAGCCTTCCCTTTACCGAGCCCCCCACCCCTAACTACCATTCACGCTTGGAAAGTTCTAGCCGGGGCGAAGAGGATGCTGCTAACTCCCCGGTGGGTGGAGGAGAGGTAGGAATCGTAGGAGCCCTAAGTGGGATCCGACAAGGAGAGGGATTGTACTGCCCTCTCGTCCCCACCCTCACTACATTCCCAGCCCCAAGAGATAACCTCCCCTCCTTCCTCCCACCTCCGACACCCACCGGGAAGGGGGTGAACCCTTCCTGGGGATGAATGGAGTGGAGTTGGAAGCCTGGGGTAGGAGACCATCATCCCCCGCGCTCTCATCTGGGACTTAGGCTGCAGAACAAAACTGGGACGCCCGCGGCTTCCGAGCCGGGTTTGGCGAGCTCTGAGACCAGTGGCGGGCTCTGTGGGACCTCTATCTAGTCCCTTGCTCTCTTCGGGGTCTCAGTTGCCTCATTTGTGGAGCGGGCTTTAGGTCTCTGCGCTCCCTAAGGTCCCTTTGATCTTGACCTTGGCACGTGTGGCCCACCCTCCCCTCAATCAGGGCTTAGGGCTGCTGAGGTGGGTCTTGGTGGGAAACAAAAAAACAGTTGCTATTTTAATCCGGGTTTAAACAACTGTCTCCTCTTTCCTGGCATAGGTCAATGGCAGGGGTAGAGGGGGTGGTTTGGAGGGAGGGATAGGGTAAAAGGTGAGGTTTGGGGTCAGAGCCTAGGGTCGTTGCAACTTCACATATTTCACTTCCAAAACCTCGGTCACTCCCCAGCTCTCACAGAAATTCACTCACGGACACGCACACACGGAGACTATGCACGTGGACACGCACACACACTTTCACACTGACACAGCACAACGCAACCACACGAGGATTAGAGAGACAAAACGCACACAATTCTTGCGTGCACACTCGGGCACACACTCGGACTCACACGCGCACCCAGCCAGAGCCTCTCAGAGTCACGAACAAACACGCACGCGCGGGGCTACACACTCGTTCCCCTCCCAGCTTTCTGCTGGAGCGGGGGACCAGGGAAGATGGCCCGAAAAGGCCTTGGCATTGCAGTGACCCCCTCCCGTCCCCTACATCCGATTCAATATGAGGAAGGAGGTGGGGCGGGGTGGGGTAGACAGACGGGTTCTCGCCCCTCTCCCCCAGTCCCAGGCTCATGAGACTTTCCGTTCCCTTACCGCCCCACCTTCTGTACTAAACTTTTTCCTTCCACATCTTCCCGCCTGGGCCCTGCAGCGCCGACCTCTGCTGGAACCCAGAGCTTTTCTTGCACCTCCCCGGGAAGAGGGTCCCAAAGATGCACGCCCCATGGGCAACACGGAGGCGCGGCCTGGATCAGGCTCTGGAGCCGGCAGAGGCAGAAAACCCAGGCGCCGAGAGCCGGGTGCGCGAACTTTTGTCTCCTTTTCCAGGGTCAGTGGGAAAAGAGCCCGGGGACAACCAACCCCTTCCCTACAGGAGTCAAAGCGAAGAGAAGGAAGACAGTTAATTCTGGGACAAGCAAAAAGAACGGTTTTGGAGTCACGGGAGCTTTCCTGCACAAAGGACTTGGATGTTGTGTTTTTTTTTCTTCTTTTCTGGTGTTTTTCGTTCCCAACTTTGAAGTCGGGTTCAGACCTCCTGGAGACCATGGACTGAGCGGAGGGGTGGGGGCAGCAGAACCCGGAAGCCGCGCTGGCCCCTCCTCAATCGCTTCCACACTCTCACACGCCCAAGGCCAGTCGGTGTGGACCCCGAACCGCGCCAAGCCGGATCCAGGCGGGAGCGGCCACTTGGACAGGTGGGGAACAGGGGTGGGAGAGGGTACCGTAGGCCTGAGGACACCGACCTCGGGGAATCTTTTGGGGAGTGGGAGGGAGCCATACAGGGATAAAAGCAAAATAAAAAATAGAAGAAAATTCAGGCATAGACATTGAATTAACTCCGGATTTTTTCTTTTTTTCGGGGAAAGGGAAAGAGATTAAACCCAAACTCGGGTCTGGGTTCTGGGGTTTGGGTGGGATTCAGTGTAAGCATAAAAAGCGGGGTGTCAGATTAAAGTGAAGAAAAATAAATAGGGAATTGTGTGTAGTCCTCTTGCTTTCCGGAGCAGCGAAGTCTAAAATTCTCAGCTCCAGAGGCCTGTCTGCCTGTGTGATAGAGTCCCAGCTAGGTTTGAAATTCCGGGGGGGCGGGGCAGTGAAGGCTACTCTTCCCGTAATCCGAGCCAAGGGGCCCTGCGTCCAGCTCCCGGATCATCCCCGCGCAGCCCGAACGCTGCCTGCAGACCCGCGAGCAACGACAGTTCGGGTGTTTGCACCCTAGCGCCCTCTGCGCTTGGCGAGGGCCTGTGGACAGCCCGCGGGGCTCAGAAAGGAAACCAGGGCCCCAGGAGCGCTTTCTGATTCCTGGCCACCGGGTGCAATTTACAGAAATCATCGGTATCTTTCCTCCGTTTCCCACGGGGAGTCAAGAGGAGAAAAGTCTCAGTTTGTCTGACTTGAGAGAGAGAGAGAGAGAGAGAGAGAGAGAGAGAGAGAGACTATTTCTAGAACAAAACTGTACATGCTGTGAACTGCCTCAGATAAGAAGGAGAAAACTCTGGAGGAAGACTGGATGGTGGGGACATAAATCCAAATACTGAAATTCACGAAGGTGACAACATCCAACAGTGGGCTTTTTCTCGGGCTTTCCAGATACCTAGACATTTTTAGTCTTATTTCATATATACAGAAAAAAAGAAACCCTCCCTGTCCCTCATCCCCTTCATGAAATGCTCTGGGTCCTCTACAAACAAAGCTGCTGCCCCAATTTCAGGAGTCAACGGAGCATTTTATTTTGTCAGCGAAGCATTTTATATTCCATGGTTTACCTCCCACGCACCCCCCACCCACCGGCTTTTTTCCTTTGCTGCCTCCCCTAGTCCCACTCCACTTTGGACAGAATTGCTTAGGATCCCTAACCAATACCCAACGAATCCCCCAGCACCCACCCACCCCCACATTATTATGGGCTCCAAATGAAGACCAAGACCCCGAGTGCTAATTGAATTAGTCTATTGAAAAAGACTGTCAGGTACAATGACGTGACTCGAGGCCCCACATTTCCCAAGGTCTATAGGCTTTGGGGACCTGCGATGTATAGTCTGACCTTCTAGCTCATAATAACGCGGCACTTGTAGCAGAAATCTCCTCGCATTCACTCCCAACAAAACCGCTGGTCATCCAGTCCCCGTAGGAAGGCTGCACGCTATTGTGTTGCGACAACTCATTCATGTCCCGCACCACGAGGCCCCACCGCCATCTGATCTACACTCGAAATGCGATTACCACCCTGTGCATGCAACATGCTCCTACTCCCAGTCCATGGCGCACACCCCTCGCCAGGCTGCAAGAATTTCTTTCATAATTCTCCTTCTGGTCCTCATCCTTGAAAGAGAGGTGGAAACATGCAGGACCCTGGTATTTGTCTCTGCCTACACAAAATCCAAAATTCTATGGACACACAGGCTGGTCCTCTTTTCTGAACAGCATACACCAAAACCCTCAGCAAATACATTTCTTCATGCCTGACTAGTGGGGCTGACTTGGGTGTACACATTAACGTTCACATACACACAGGGGTCTCCTGCCACACACAACTATACACACACACACTACTTTTATAGACTAATTTTCTCTCTGGGTGGCTCTCACAGACCAAGCAAATAAACACAAATATACACTCTTGTCCCCACAGCCACGGGCCACTCTTCAAGACCGCTGAGTGTTTTCCCCAAAATTAGAAAAGGGGAGAAAGAAAGGTAAAATTTCTCAGTCTTCACTCTAATAAACACGTCAGTCTTCCGACTACATGATTCCCAAACCCCACTAGCTAGCAGCTCCCCAAACATGTATGCATCATTCTCCTCTGTTTGGCCAGGTGTCTTTGGCTCAGTGGGAGCCCCTGACTATCCTCAGAAAATGCAGGAAGTCTAAGGACGGGAGAAGGGAAGGACGGTTGGGGTCTCTCTCTGTCCTATTTACCCAACTCCCCATCACTGAAGGCCTCTTTGGGACCTCCTTCCTTCAAGTGAAAAAAAGTAGCACCCCTCCCCCAACTTTGGCATTTGAGACAAAACACTCTATATCTTCCTTGTCATTCTCCACTTTTATCTGGGCTATCCCCGAGGAAAGGGGACTTGGGGACAATCAACTTACTGCAGAGACACAGCCCAGTCTATGGCCTTCTGTGGGCCTCTAGCCAAGGTGACTGCATAGCTCAGAACTGCAAGGCCATAGAAAGGCGCACGGGGTACCCCCACACTTCCATATCTTTGGCCCAAGAGCAGATGGCATTTGGAGAAAGGGGCTCCATGCCATTTGAGTAAGGCTTCCCCACCTGCTACCCGCAGGCCCACCTCTCTGCCACCCCGGCCTGGGCATTAAGTTGAAAGTCATTCCTTAGCTCCCAAAGGCAGAAACGAGTGCCCCCAAAAGGACCGCCACACAAATATAACCACTCGTGCAGATACAATCCTTCACACACACCCTAACCCTTTACCCACATACTTGTACACACAACTCACCCTGCCCGTAGTTCCTCACTCACACGCCCAGCCCCGGGCTCACTCAGAGTTCTGTGAACCCCTCACCCATCCGTCTCGGCCAACATTTGTTCACTCAGCCCTCACACACTTCACTTGCATGCTTGCCAAGACGCCAATGCGCTCACACAGAGTTCTCAATAGCATGTTCATTTGCAGGAGGGAGAGGAGGGCGTAGGGTCTGGGTGGAGGTCATGGAGCGCAGGGCGGCGCGGGGTACCGAGCGTCCGGGCCAGGCCGGGCCTGGGGGAGGTGGGGGGACGAGCCAGCGCGCAGAGTGCCGCCTAATCCAGCTCGAGCTCGTGGGCCGCGGGTGCATTTATCATCCCATTACTGTAACAAATCCGGGCTCCACTACATGAAAGGTAAAATGAATTACCGACGTTAAGCCGTCAATAAAGTCATTTCTGTAAATGGTGTCTCCAAAGGGCCGCCGCATTATTCAGCTGGCTTTATCAGCTGGCTGGAAATTACGTGGAGGAGCCGGGCCGCGCGGCGCGCGGGGCCGCTCACTTTGATTAAGCGTCTTGCCAGCGCGATGTGACAGAGCTTTTGACCAGGGTTTTATTCACAGGCCTGTGATGAACGCCAAGCTGATCAGGCGGAATGAAGAGTAATTAAAACCTATAAATTATCTTCCGCAGCCCTTCTCGAGGCGTCTCCTGCAGGCGAGATAAGGCGTCGAGACCCTATTTACCGCGCTGAAAGGGACCGCGGTGCACAAAAGCTACGCGGCTAAATAGGATATTGATAGTGTCCTAATTAGAATTTAATTAAGTACCCACGCTTGCTTGCGGGATAAAGATTTCAATTTTGCGAACTTAAATATAAATAAAACCCCACCCTCATTTCGGGGAGAAGGGGTAGGGGCGCCTGGAGATTTCGGGGAGCCCTTGGGTGTGCGACTGAAGAGGACTCGGGAGACTCCAAAGTGGGGTTGGAGGCGACTTGGGAAGGTTGAGAAGACTGTAGTGCAGCGTTAGGGAGAGAGGTTTTCTCCCCTAGGCTGCAGCGCAAGTCTAGCCGGGAACTCAGCCCCAGAAATCGGGGGACCCTCGCCTGCTCCCAAGATGCGGTGAGCAATACGAATTCCTGCTCTCCACCAGCCCTTTTGAGAAACTTCAGCTACTGCGGTGTTGGTTCGACTTATTGTGGGTTTGGTTGCATGTTCCTCCTAGCCTAACCCCCTGTGACTTTTCTGGAAAACTGGAGGTAGGGGGATTATTTCGCATGTCACAAATAGACAATATTTCCAAAGAGGTACTTTCTCTACTGTCCCAGTTGGGGAGGGCGTTCAGGGCGAGGAGGTCCGCTGGAGCTCTAAGATGACAACCCCGAAGGCCTCGTTTGCTCGTTTGCCTTTCTCGGCCACCGCAGGCTTCAGCAGAGTCCGATACTGGTCCTCCAAAACGACTCCGCAGACAAGTCCCGCAGGTGCCTAGAGCTTCAGTCCACAAGCCACTACCGTCCCTCACATTACCGGTTACGAGAAAACTTTGGGGGTGCCTCGACCAGGAAACAGCGAAAAAGAGCCCGGCAGACGGGAGAGTGATAGCAGCTAGAGGAACCGCATTCCCCTCAAACTAGGGAAGAACGCACAGGGCTGGAGCCGGAGGCACCCAGGGAGTTGGGAGCAATCCCAGGAAATTCAGTTACCCCGCAATTGAGGGAAACTCCTTGTTCACAACGTCAACTGGCCAGGGCAAACACTTGGGGTGCAGCGCTTTTATTTATTTGATTTTACTTTGCAGGGAAATCTAACATAGAGGTTACCCTGAATTCTAAAGCAAGGGCCTAGCGTGCATCCGCGTTCTGACTCGCCGGCGCGGGGGCCCTCCTGAGATTACTCTGCGTTGCCCGGACTCCCACTGCCAGGGAAGGTCCAGGCGGCTGGCGCTGGGGCTATTCCGAGCCCTCTGGGCTTGGCGCTATGGCGCCAGGACAGCTCCAGGGTGTTGTCGAAAGTCTGGACCGGGAAGGGCATGGGTGCGGATTCCCCACAAAGGGAAAGCAATGCAGCGGGCCGGCAGGAGACGTACAAACGTAAACCTGCGACGCTAGCTAGGCGCAGCGGGCCTTTCAGATTTTGCTATTTGTGAAAAATAAATTGCGCCTCTGAAAGAAACCAACTCTAGGTCTATTTCACATCACCGACCTCCTTGTCTCACTCCCCCTCCCTCCACTACACACACCCAAACCCACACCTACCCACAAACACACAAACCGGCAGTGACAACAACCACTCATCCTTCATAACAGCAACCAGAGAGAGAGGAGAAAATAAAAAGCTGAGGTTCTTAGGCGTGGGGGTGTAAAACAGCCAAGCTCCTGCCTACTGCCCCTGCTCCCGGCGCGCACAGACCCATAATCCTGCGTTTCTCCAACAAGTTGTTTATGGAGTTGCTTCTCCATTTGCCTACATCCCAAAATCCACCCCTCCCGGGTTTCTTCTGCCCCCTCCTCGGTCCCGGCCTGAAGGAGGGGGAGGGGCGCGGGTGGGGGAGGGCGGACCCGACGCACAGGGCCAGCGCCGCGGCGCCCCCTCTCCGCCCGTGGCTGACGCCCCCGGATTATTTATCCGCAAAGTCCCGCGCGCACCCATTGGGCCGAGGCCCGAGTGTCAGCGCGAGTCCCGGCTCGCCATTGGCTCCGCACACGTGCGGCCCTGACTCACGTGCTTCCGGTTTGAAGGCAAAAAGTGTGCCTGGGTGATTTTTTTTTTTTAAGCGAGAGAGTTTGTGCAAAGATCCTAGCTGTCAGAGATTTGAAAAAAAAAAAAAAAAAAAAAAAAAAAAAAAAAAAACCCAGCCCGGCGCTGGCGGAGACGCGCTCTCCCTGCAAAAAAAGCAAAGGCGATTAAAGGCGCTGCCAGCCTCACGCTCTGGGCACAGCTGAGCGTGACACTCGGGGAAGTCAAATCCCTCACTACTGCCTAGGAAGATGGCTAGACTTTAAATACTATTTTTTTCCCTTTAAGAAAAAAAATTATTGGACCTTTTTGTCTTTTTCTTGCTTTCTTTTTCCTTTTTTCTTTTTTTCCTTCTTTTTTTTTTGGCCGTGGCTTACTCCCCATTTAAATCAAATCATTGAATCTGGTTGCAGAAAGAAAAAAGAAATAGCCAAGTGTCTCCATATCTGGATGTCTACAAATTAGAGAGGGAGAGACAGCGAGATCTATCTGCTAGATAAGAGCGAGCGATCCAGGCCAGACGCCTGAGATTTTTTCCTGCACCCGTGCCTTCGCTGGGGCTTCGCCTGCCTCCTTCCTCTGCGCACCCCCACGGGCCGCTGGCAAAGTGGGGTGGGGAGCGAGGCGGTGGGGGCGGGGGC